TTGGTGTAAAGCTTCCTCTTTTGCGCTAACAAACAGTACCATGTAAATGCCATAGTATATGAATAAAAATCATTCAGCTCTGTGGTATATCAGCATTGCAATACAACTGTTAGATGATCACAGTTTGTTAATCTGTTAATAGTCCTAATAGTCTTGTTCCTCTGTGTTTCTGGTTTGGTCTAGGTTATCGCTGCAGCAGAAAGTGGTTTCAAGGCAGTTGGCTTTGAGCTGAACCCATGGCTGGTCTGTTACTCCCGATGCAAAGCCTGGAGGGAAGGTGTTCATCACAACACATCTTTTTATATTTCTGACCTTTGGAAGGTGAGGACAGGTCAATCATAATCTAAATGTGGACCTTCCATTATATTTGTACCTAAATTATTAAGTATTTACAGATACAATACAATACAATCTGTATGTAATCATGCCACATGTGTTTTTTTTTTTTTTTATTATTTGTCTTTTCTTTCATAGGTCAGTTTTTCAGAGTACTCCAATGTGGTCATCTTTGGCGTTCCTCAAATGGTAAGCTCTTCTGACTAATTTTATATATACATACACACATGTACATACAATATTTTTTACAATCTGACAGACATTGTTGTTTTCTCCACAGATGGAGCAGCTTGAAGTCAAGCTTCAAACAGAGCTCCAGAGTTCAGCCAAAGTAGTGGCTTGTCGCTTTCCATTTCCCACTTGGACTCCTGAGGATGTCGCTGGAGAGGGAATTGATACTGTTTGGGTTTATAATGCCAAGACATTCAAACCTCCCATCAGAAATGATAAAGACAAGAATTAATGGCAAACTAAGTTTCTTTAAAGAAAGAATTCCCTATGTTTTAGTAAAGAAAATAAGAATGAGTTTGTTTTTTTCTGCATTTGTATTATATGACAAAGAAAAGGATTTGATATATATTTTCTCAGAGATGTTGAGTGATCATATCCTGATAATAATATTTTGTATTCTTGTTTAAAGCCCCGTTCACACCAAGAACGATAACTACAAAGATAACTATATTAGCGTCCACACCAGCGGATGATATCATCTGTTT